TCTATAATCAGCGATCGAGACATAGATCATTGCATAGAAATTTCCGACCTCCGAATCTGTGCCCGACACTCACCTTCGCTCTCCACAGAATTAACAAATCCATGCATAAAACGTGCCTTACATAACTTACCAGCAGACCATAAAGATTGTCCAGCCAAAATGATTACACATACAAACCCTATTTGGATACAACTATACTCGAATCAAGAATGGATCTCCGCATCTTACTATCTAATTTCTTTCCACGTTTCATGCAAGGATTCTAACCGCGTCATCTCACACCATCTTAACGGAGTAAACAAAATTAAAATCAAAGCAGGTTGTATCGGACATACTGCATCCGTAACGTTATACTCTAGCGAAACTATAAATAATCACAACGAATTGCAATTACAATTAGGCCTCGCCAATATTACAATACCGAAATTAGACGACACCGTTAAAGCTTATGCACGCGTACCAGAACTGCGAAAAGAATTAATAACTAACAACGACTTGAAATTGGCATCTAAATCACTCGACCAAATCATCTCTGAGGCACATTCGATTTCCACACACACACGTAGCATCTCCAGAAACGAAAGCACCTGGATGATCTTACAAACACTAATAGCAGCCTTAGGCATAATGATAGGATTGTACATATTTTCAAAATTTAAATTATGGCGTTTAATATTTTGTCTATTTAAACCCTGTACACGCAATAACTGTCTTAATACCAATTCAAACGGGACCAACCACTACGGGTCAGCGCCCCAATCTGTAGTATACACAGCGAACGCACCAGAAACTTGCAACCTCCAACCCACTCCTCTACCACCCGAAGAAAATAAATTATCACAACCTTCGCGGCGAAAGAAACATCGCGTTTCCTTCACCGTGCCTCCTATTTGATTTCACAAGTAAAATCAAAAATAAGGAAGGGGGTGTTAGGCGAGAACCTCTGCTAGCTTGACTAGCAGAGATAACACCCTGCATTCCCTATTCCCACGGTACGGCAGCCCAGAAACTGATGACACATAGAAACATAAGAATCCGACGACTGGGCTGCTTCTTCGCGAACGAAACTGCGCAACATATTCATACATATAATAAAAAACCACACCCGGGCGGGCATTCTGCGCCAGGCGACTTCATAGCAAGGGTCACGATCGCTTAGTAGTTAGTTCTCGTGCGAGATTCGAACCATTATCCGAAACTCAGTTATTAATTCAATAAACCTAACGTGTATGGAAGTGATACCGTGTAGTTTTAATTGCCTCCCTGAGTTGCGACGTAACAGTACGAAAGTTTTTAATTAATATCTCGGAAACTAACAGGAAGCAGAAGATACCACTTTATATTTGGGGTCGTCTATCTGCTCCCAACCAACCCTCCAAATTTCATCTTGATCGGCGATCGGTCGTATTCGGAACTACAGCCAAAACTTTTTTCTAATTTAGTAGAAATAATAATGATACATAATAAGTTGTTTCAAGTAAATATGGTCCGAATTATATCGTGTTTGGTATCATTTTAACGAAAAAGATGTCAGAAATATCATGGAAAAAGTTTTATAAAAAAAATATGAAAAATAACAATGTTAGGTTGTTGCATCAGTGTTGCCTCACTGACATAGAGCGGTTTGTTTTCGCTCCGTCCTCTTTATCACTCGCTGTCCTTTTCTACATTCGAAGCAGTCGGCAAATATCAAACAATGGTGGAACTACACGTTATAAGCAAAAGTTCGGTTCCGAGCGTTTTACTTATAACGAGTCTATACTGTATCATCATATGATGATTTAAAATCTATAAATCTATAAATATAACTATAATCTATAACTATAATTTTGCAAATTTTGAATCCAATTGTCAACAAAATAAATCCACTCTTTTTAAACTTTTAAAATTATTAAATTATTAAAATGCGAATCCTTTCGATGTTTCCAAGACTTCTAGAGTCTTAAATGCGAGAAATTATCGATCCCGTACAGTGCTTTAAATTAATTGCAATTTTCGAACTATCAATTATGGGGGCCCACGAAAGTTTGATAATCCTGGGGCACCAGAAATCTTAAAAGAAGTGGGCATTTTGGGAGTCCGAAAATCGAATTCTTTTATTTCTTTATTTAATACTAAACAATATTCGGAATCAGAATGGACAATTAAAACAATTTTTGAGAATTGTTCACAAAGTTGAGCGTGTGTTACTGATAGAGGCAAAATTTTAGAAAAATGCTGCCTTTATAAAACCACACGTTTTCCTGCACTTATGTTCGCTTTTCTCAGTAATCATTCGGCCGATTTAGTTACAATTCTGTGGGCTTTTACTAAGGGTAACACATAATTTAGGAAAAGATTTTTTTGAAAGTCGGCTTACAATAAGATTAGCAGCATCTTTTATGTTGAAGGTTAGAGTACAAATAAATCCACACATGTATAAGCTTGTATAATTTTTTCTATTCCGTATTTCAATATTCCCTGTAGCTCAAGTACGCATCTAGTATGATACACTAGATGCTCTAATAATTTGAAGTTGATGCCTAAAGTAAATTCTGAGAAAAAGGAACTTGAAATTGGCTTATTTTCTATGTATCGTGGAAAATGACCCCTTCATTTAATTCGCTTCTGCCGACGCCAATCATTATTAAACGCAAAATGAAAATTTTCATGCAAAGATACAATGTCAAAGAAAATAGAAACTGTATCACTTACCAGAATTCAAAGATGCCCGTGGAATGCAGGTTGAGGGCAATAACATTCTCCAAGTTCGATTTGTTTGCAGTTTTCGTTTCCACATAAAGAAACATTGACCAAAAACGATGATTCTTCGATAAAACCTTCTTCGCGAAAAACGGGCACTCAATTCGCAACTTCAGAACTTGTCTCGATACCCGAACAAACAGCTACAGAAAAAAACCGACAATCGATATTAATACAATTTCAAAGTATAATTACAAAAAGTTTGTTAGTAACACTGAATAACTAGCTAGAGGCTAAACTGCGAAACACACGTTTATACACAAGTTAGCATTGGTTAATTTTTCTAAACCGAGAAACGCACGAGTGAATATATTATAACACGTCCGTACCATTCGACCGTTGTATACGGAATGATTTTGTAATGGCTACGAACGACGAAGGGCCCGTGTATGGTGGAGGGGGTTCAGTTCAGCGACGCAACGGTGGTGGTGGAAAGTTTCGATTTTGTACGACGCGACGCAAGCCGACTTTGGCGGGGCGATTCGCTCGTTGAACTTGTTGTCATCGTCAAATCATGTCTTCGATTGTGTGCGAGTATTTGCACACGGTCGTGCGATTAGCGAAAGGCAAACATGTTTAACGGTCGGTGAACACGCGGTTGATACTTTTTCTTCTGGCTATAATTTAGATTATTATTTGGAAGAATAATCACTTCATTTTATAATAAAATTGAAAATCGATTTAATATTATAATCTAAGGATCTCAGCATCATGGAAAAGATGTTTTAAAAGAGGATTGGCAGAATATTAATTCCCCCTTTTATCGTCATATCACCGTAAAAATATAAAAATTTACAGTAAATGTGTGCAGTAACTAGTTAATACGTGTATTTACGTAAAGTTTCAGCAAAGTTGTGAAACATGGACATAAATTTTTTTAGGATCTGGAATTTTTGTATTTTAAAGCTTTTAAATTCTGGAATTTGGAAAGTCTGAATTCTCGGAATTTTTGAATTTTGAAATTTTAGAATTTTAGAAGCTCAGAAATTTGGAATGATTGAATGCTGAAGTTTTGAAATCCTAAAATTTTTAAATGATAAAGGTTCACATTTTCGAGGAGAGGCGTGTTCACATTTTTAAGTGGTATCGATTCAATATAAAAATGTTATTATATACAACAATGATCGACAAACTTTTTTTATATATTGCCGAATATTAAATATTTTTTACCTTTGCCGGCTAAGAGACAAAACTAAAATTATGTAGATAACTACTTACAAAATAAAAGATGTTCGGTAATTATTTAGAAGTTGGTCCTCCTCACCGATTTTCGTGACCTTGAAATATGTTATCAAGGTCATCATTCTGAACAACTTTTCCCTATACATGTTACCGCCGCTCGGCCTTAGTTTCCGACATATTCGTAAAAAACTGCAGTTATACTTATGTCACCAGTACACTGTATTTCGGGAAAAATGGAGACTGAATAGCGATTGAAAGGGTGATTGAAGTGGTTTGAGGTTAGGGTTAGGGTCAGGGTTAGGTTAGGTTTAGGTTAGGTTTAGGTTTAGAGTGTACATGGCGTGATACGAGAGCTAATATTCCTCGTTATGGAACTCGTACGTATCATTACGTGGGATATATAGCTGTGTTTTTATTCCGACGTTAACATGATGTTAATGAGCGTATAATGGCATTTTTCGACATGATGGGCGAAATGTTTCCGATTTCTAACAAAACACAAAATGAATAATACAATATACAGGGTGGGGCATTTTAAACAGGTCACCTGAATAACTCGCTTGTTTTTGAAGATAGAGGAAAACCCATTAGACCGAACTTGCTTGGTATCGAGGGGTTCATAATCTGATGCTATTAATTTTTCTGTAGGTGAAGGCGCCAAGGAGATATGAAGATCAATTCTGTTTTTTTTAATGGAATGGTATGGTTTTTTATTTACAATCAGGTAAAGTGTTTCAAGACGAATACAATGACCTATTATGAAGGTCATTCAATGTCAACTGCAATAGAAAATAAATTGTCTCAGACCACACTTCGAATACTTTTGTATCTTCACTGATTGTTGGCGTACCGCTCTTGTAAATACTGATAAGGGTCACAGAAAGTAATCAAACATTCAATCACACTGTACGCTTATCCGTATCCTCAAATGTTATTGATAGTTTGTCTATCGACTAGAGCAGGCATCGGAATTAACTGCTCTTTTCGGCCGATTTTCAGATGTCACGCCTCCTTTTCCCTGCCGACATCTGAAAATCGGCCGAAAAAAGCAGTGAAATGCGATGCCTGGAGTACAGCGCGGTGATAAATATTCAATCTGAGTGTTCAATTTTCTAAAATGCGTTACACGATAGCAGAGAAAGTAGAAATGGTTATTGTTTATGGTGAATGTCATAGAATTATGAGGGAAGCGGTGCGTGTGTATGGTGAAAGATTTCCCGATCGTAGAAGACCTTCACTTTCTGTCTTTGCAAACATTATAAAAACGTTCCAAGAAACCGGAAATGTGGATAATAAGCCACGCAATCGAGCTAAAAGAGTAACTGATGATGGAAACTCAATAAACATTGTAGCAGCTGTAATACGAGATCCACGCGTCAGTACTAGACAACTTGAACGCGAGAGTGGCCTCAGTCGTCGAAGTATTTTGCGAATACTTCACGTCAACAGATTTCATCCGTTCCACATTTCACTTCATCAACAATTAAGTGAAAATGATTTTCAAAGACGTTTACAATTTTGTAAATGGGGCTTACAAAAACTGCAAGATGATGAAATGTTCTTGAATAAAATTTTGTTTACGGATGAGGCCACATTTACAAACCACGGAGCAGTTAATCGTCACAACATGCACTACTGATCAGTAGATAATCCACGATGGCTGAGAGAAGTGGACAAACAGAGACCTTGGTCTGTAAACGTATAGTGCGGCCTTCTTCATAATAAAATAATTGGTCCATATTTTATTGATGGCACGCTAAACAGTCGTAAATACGAGAAAATCTTAGAAGACGTTTTGCCAGATTTATTCGAGGACATTTCACTGGACATACGGCAATCCATGTGGTTCCAACAAGACGGATGTCCTGCTCATTCAGCACGAAATGTTACAGGATTTCTAAACAGAAAATTTGGAGATCGCTGGATTGGTCGATCAGGAAATAACAAATGGCCGGCACAATCTCCAGACCTGACACCTCTAGATTTTTATTTGTGGGGAAAGTTAAAAGAGGAAGTGTACCGCGAAAAACCAACAACCAAATTTGACATGCAAGAACGTATAAAAAGAGCTTGCTGTGAAATAGATACAAATGAAATTTGTCAGGCAGTGTCATCAGTATCGCAACGGTTTAGACTATGTAGCCATGTTCAAGGTCGTCATTTTGAACACTTGTACTAGCAGTGAGTATGTAAATAACATAATTGCATGTAAATCGTCTAAGTATTCGAAGAGTGCTCTGAGACAATTTATTTTCTATTGCAGTTGACCTTGAATGACCTTCATAATAGGTCATTGTATTCGTCTTGAAACACTTTATCTGATTGTAAATAAAAAACCATACCATTCCGTTAAAAAAAACGGAATTGATCTTCATATCTCCTTGGCGCCTTCACCTACAGAAAAATTAATAACATCAGATTATGAGCCCCTCGATACCAAACAAGTTTGGTCCAATGCGTTTTCCTCTATCTTCAAAAACAAGTGAGTTATTCAGGTGACCTGTTTAAAATGCTCCACCCTGTATAAAAAGTGAATGAAGGAGTAATTATAACAAAAACAGAACCCTAACCCTAACCCTAATCCTAACCTCAAACCACTTCAATCACTCTTTCAATCACCATTCAGTCTCCATTTTTCCCGGAATACAGTGTATGTACTCGTAATCTAAGTTTAACTAAAGATTTTTGCAAATATCTCGGAAACGAAGGCCGAGCGGCAGTAACATGTATAGGTAAAAGTTGTTCAGAATGATGACCTTGACAACATATTTCAAGGTCACGAAAATCGGTGAGGAGGACCAACTTCTAAATAATTACCAGATGTTCTTATAAATTCTTTATTGATGAAATTAAAATACAGCTATAATCGGGAATTTTTATTTCTTCCTTTAATAACGTTTCCTATAATTGAGGTTGAAAGTGTGTCCTTTAGTATCCAAATAAGCGTTGCTGTGTTTTAATAGAATTATTTATGAATACGACTTTGAATGTCATGTCACTTAAACGTTTTGTATATATATTTTTTTTCGACATTTCTCAACTCATAAGCATACAAAAACAGAAGCAGAATCGTAATTTATGGACCGCTGATATAGAATATCGTCTACTTGATCAATTTTAATTATTTTTAATCTTTGAACGACGGACCATGGAGAGAACCCCAATTTCCATTTAATTTCGTATTTCATATTATTTTCATTTACTAAATTTTATATTGTTCCTCTAATTATTCTTCCAATATATGAAACTTTCCTTTAAAAATTATAGATTTAATTTTAGGTTAATATTCTTCTATATATATGTTTTATAAATTTGGGTCTAGATTGATCCTGGCTCCGCTGTTTAAGTTTTAATATATTATATCACAGAAATTAAATTTCCAAATAATTTCTTTCCGGTTTAAATGTATAAATGCAGTCAGGTTTTTAACTATTAAAAATATAAAGTAATGTTTCAGGTGGTCGGTTTCTTGGGAGAAACTTTATGGAATCTTTCAATTTTTTTGCGTTTTCAGTTATTAGAAAGAAAGATAAAGTGACAATTATCTGCTTTCAGCGTAGCAGGTTAATTTAGGAACGAATGCGTAAGGTTCATTTAAATTGTTTTCAAATTTTTCATCAATAACGTGGCTTCCAATTCAAACGTTTATTAATTATTCCATTTCAATCATTTTCATTTGTTGTTTAGAATGCTTAGAATTTCATTTTTTACATTATGATAGGCGACAAGAGATTAGGTTCCGTATTCATTTTAAACAACGACTAAAAATGTTCTACCCGTCCAATTTTTTTATTGTGCTAGGCCAACGGGGTGCCGAGCCGTTCGTTCGCGACCTACGTCAGGCCCAGTTTTCATAGCCGACATTGCAATCCCTGAGCCCGCGCGCTGTACGCGCTCGGATTGGTCGGTGCTTTTTGTTAATAACTAGAAAAACAAGCCTTAACCAACATTTTGGAAAAGGAAAAAGTTGTTTAGAATCACCTTAGCAATCATCCCTCTTCGGCTGTAGAGGTAGTCGCGTGACACTCTGTATATCCGCGGTGACCCCCCTTGCAAAAATTTATGAAATTTGTTGTTTATTAACCATTTAAATTTGGTCAATATTTTTTAGGTTTATGGTTATTAGCTAAGTAACAGAAACCCAAAATCACCTTGCACTATTCTAAAAATACTACAGGTTCCACTAAAAAGTGTAAAATAAAATAATTTTTAACAAAAAACAAATCCGACTTCGAAATGCACTAAAAAGTGTCAAATAATTTCTATTTCATTTATACCAATATTCCATAGCTATTAATAATATCTACTTAATCGTTAAATAGGATACCAAATATTTCAAAGTTTTCGGAGGCGGCGCAAAATTAAAAACTTTTCCTCTACTAAGAAGATCCTAACTCGGGCGTCGGCAACCTATGATAAATCACTCATATGATAATTTCAAGTAAATAATATTCAACGGGAATCAACAAACCCATTGCGAATTAACTATACTGCAGTTCACAAGTGACAGCACTTAACTCGCGCAGCTAGTGACCTACTGAGGTCTAGGGAGATTTTTAATAGTGCGTGTGATTCCCCTTTACAGCTTGCTTCTTACTTTGCATTCACATCATTTTTTTTTTTGCGACAAATAATAGGAATTTCATTGTACCGTGAAACTTTACAATATCATGTTACGTCGCGAGCGAGAGAGAGACGGCGCGCGACATACAAAATAAAAAAAAACGAAAAACGAGAGTTTTACTATGTTTTATTATGTTGGCTGATACGCGGTTGAGAACGGTATTAGCGCTGCCACCAGTCCTAATCGCTTGAGACGATGTTAGGTCCTTCACGATTAGAAGAATAAAAGAGTTGATAAATTAATTAATAGTTAATTAAGAAATTAATTGGGTTCGTCAATGCTCTAGTCCCATACGGGCCCCTCGTGTGAATTTGTACGAAGATGGTAGGCGTGAAAATGAAGGAATAGAAGTGGTTTGAAACGTAAATGAATTAAAACAGTTTAGGCGTAACAAAAATATAATCTCAAAAAAAGTAAACGTGACAATAAATGGTTGGTTAACAGAAAATGCGAGCTGTTTGAAATACAAGGGAAAATAAATGCATTGTTAAGAAAGGTTTAGATTATATGAAAGTGAGACTATTGATTATGGAATAATTAATGTTTGATTAAACGATTCGACGATTCGAGCGACGATGTCGTATACAGAATTAAACGCGAACAAAAGGAAAGAACGGTCCCAGAGGGTAAACTACCAGAATCACGGTTTCGTGGGGCCGTCTTCTTTTGTGTGAAATCGGAATTTTCTAAATATTTTAAATATTCGATACCTTATGTCTCTATTATGAACGGAACGATCTAGAGGGAAACTTTCCAGAATACGCGGTTTCGTAGATCGCCCGTTTTGCCTCGCTACGTCCAGATTCGTCGTATTAGATAAAATGAAATGAACAACTTACCAGGAAACAAGATGAAATAATATCTAATAATAGTGAGTGATAGACGCTTTCTTTTGCTGGTGTCGTTGAGAAATCTGGAAATCAAAGAAAAGATGAGGAAACTGCCACTGCACTACGCGTTCGCGATCGGCCTTTATTACGGTGTTACGAGACGAATTCAAACTATTACAAACGAACACAAAGTATTTTTAAATCAACGCGGCGCGGAAAAAGAAAAAAAAAAAAAATAATTAATACACGAGACGATATAAAACGAAAGAGAAAAGATAGAATTTGAAGAGTATGAAAAGAATTTAACGTATCCGTTTGAGTCCTTGTCACAAAATCCCGAACCGAAACTCTCTCGACACTCTGCCTTGAAGAGGACTTGCCGAGCAATCTAATTACGCGGTTTTGATTAACAACTCTATCTCTACGCGAACACGGGCTCCCCGTCACGCACCTTGCGACTTATCGACGAAGAGTGATTTGCCTCAGTCTAGCGATCGTGTCTCAGGGTTCGACCCGCGATCAAGGGCCCAAAGTGGGGACATCATTTGGCAAATCGGGGTACGTGACGGAGGGGAAATCCCGCGCGTATTGGGCTAGTTGGCCGCTCTTCCTAGTTCTCTCATCCCTTCTTGACTTTTCTTTCTACCTTCGTCTAAGGTTGTCCATTTCTTTCTACCCCTCTAACGCTACACTGGTTTCATGCGTCGCAATTCTAAAGTTTCTGGAATATTCGAAATCTATTACGACTTAATTTATTCGAATTTGCTAATCAAAGAGGCTTTTATCAATGACATTTCCGGTATCGAAAGAGGTTTTCATTTTATTAAAAATATTTGGTTTACTAGTTTGAATGACCATTAGTTGAATATCGTTAATTATTATTCATACGTTAATTGTTCTGTTAATCTCGTTGTTTTGCGGGTTACGCGAGATGCAGCCGGTGTTTTATAATCGTCGACAAATTGTGGATACATGCGTGTCGCATTTAGTTAATATTCATTTCGCTCTTATTAGTTATTAACATTCCTATTCGTATCTCGACGATTTACGTATATTCGAACGTTCTACGTTTAACGTTTAATGACGATGTTTATAGACTCGGTCGACCTTTGTCTCGAACATCCGTGAACGATTTCGAACTACAGTGGTTGTCACGCAAACCCTCACATTCTAATATCATTCAAA